CCACTGACACTCTTAGAGAACAAATCACAACTTGACCATCAAAGGGGTGTAACTCTTAAACACGTGGGTATGTTTCAAAGAATACCGGATAGACTAATATATCTTGCACTCAGTGTTTTAAAATGCGGGATGCGGCCCGATGCGTTTGGGGAACTTGTTGCAGCAATGCGGCTCAATGCAGTCCAAATATTGGTGCATCACCCCGATGCGGTCAATAAATAAATAAAAATCTAAAAAATCTAAAAAAATAGATTAATGCATAGAAAAAAATATGGAGATGATTTATGTGATACTAGGTATTTAGTTTATTCATTAACTCCAAAAGTATCAGTTGTCAGAGATTATGTATCCACTATCCCTTGATAGAAACTAGAAACTTGAAACTAGTTTCATAAAACATTCAACAACCATAATCACAAATTTGTAACCACAAACTTTAAAGTTACAAAATACAAACTAAAAGTCTATGAAGATTAAAAAGTTCAAAAGTCAAGACAAATTATCATCATTTCTCAAGTCTTGAGATTGTAAACTTCAAATCCTAATAAGAAATATCGGCTAAGTGTTCTTTTTGCCGAAAAAATACCCTCCATATTAGTATTCCCACAAAGCATACAACTAACAAAATTTCAGTCTTTCGGATTGCCGGATCCTTGTTACTAGAAGATTGTGAAGAAGACATCGCCCCAAAAAAAAGTATTACTGTACTAGGAAAACAATGTCACTAATAACTTGAAGCAAATATCGATTTCTTCTCGGCCCTTGAAACCCTCGATTTGTGGTCAAAACTTCGCTTAAACTTCCCCAAATCAACACTCAAAAGAAACAAATCAACAACCAAATATCAACCAAGACAAAAACATAAGAATTTCAATGTTTTAAAAAACAGTCCGCCAGGCGGCCCGAACAAAAAAACGACACGCCTCAACCAAGGCAGCCTGACACAGGCAGTTGTACCGGGGCAGGGGCCAAATCGGGCTAGGCAAGCCCCCAGCGCCCAGTTCTGGGCGAGCGCCTAGGGCCGTAAGGAATTTTTCGATATGGAATATGGAGAATATGAGAGTTGGAGACCTTACAATAGCCTATTAGACTTTTAAATGTTTTGTATGGTTTGAAATTTTGAATAAGTTTATTCTCAATCTGAGATATGCAATATGTTTGTATATAAAAACATATGTTGCGAACTTGTGATATTTTCAAATGAAATAAATTACAAAATTTGACACAAATTTATGCATATATGTGCATTTGGATAGCAAATATATAAAAAAATGCTAAGAATTTGCACCATAGGGCACCCGAGGTTTTGGGCGCCCGCCTAGGTGCCCGATTAGGCACTGGGCGCCAAGAAGGCTGCTTACGGGCCGCCTAGTGTTTTTTGAAACCTTGAAGAATTTCAAAAAACTAAATTTTCGCCACTTTTTTTTTTAATCAATTTGATGAAGTAAAGGCCACGGATGTGGCTGTTTTGGTAGTTTGGGGGGTTTAGTAACCCCCCAAACCCTTTCGCTTCTTTCTTAGGGCTTAAAAAGTAAAAAATACCCTTTTCGAGGGGGTTTTTTTTCACATCACTCGCTGGGCGCATATGCGGGCTATGCGAGATGCGGCGCATGTGCGGGAGCATCCCTCCAAAGTGCATTATGGTGCGGTTGCCAGCACATAACGCATTATGCGGCCACATATGCGGCGATGCGGCTGCATTTTAAAATCATGCTTCACTCACATGCCTAGACATTGCATATGCTATGATTGTGATTAGGCGATTTATGCATGCCCATGGACTATCCATCTTACGGTTGTTGCTTGTCAGATTCCTCAAGTACTTAAAATAGTTACCAGATAGAGGATTGTTATGTGCTAATCATAAGCATTTACGAGTTGAGGCTTATAAAAATGCAGATTAGCCTAGTTCTATTATGGACCAAAGATCAACACCAGGCTATTACACTTCTTTTGGAGGTAACCTCATAACTTGGGGGAGTAAAAAGCAGTCAGACGTAGCCAGATCAAGTGCAAAGACTGAGTATAGATCCATGGCTTATAGTGCATGCAAATTACTCCAGCTAAAAATTATTTTATGAGAACTTGGTGTTCCTCTAAAGGGGCCAATGTCCTTGAATTGTGATAACAAGGCAGCTATAAGAATAGCTAACAATCGAGTCCAAAATGATAGGACTAACATATAGAAGTAGATTGACATTTTATTCGAGAAAGAGTTGCAACAGAGAAATCTACCATATATTAAAACAGAAGACCAGTTAGTAGACATTCTTACCAAGGTTGTTGGAAAACCTAAATTACAAGTAATCATAAGTAAGCTAGGCATGACTGATCTCTATGTACAAGCTTGAGGGGGAGTGTTATGATTACCAGAGTTTATATTTATTATCTCTCATATTTAAGTTCTTAAGAACTTATTTGTCTTTTCTCCTTTTATACAGACATAGTTGTCTTTTCCTTTTACAAGGGAAAATTTGTTCTTATAATATTTTGGTAATAATATATAAAAATTTAAAGTGGGCATGGGGTTCAATTCGACACCACCATGCCCCTCTCTCTCTCCCATTGTCTCCTCTCCTCAACGCGATTCTATCTTCCCCTCTCCCACTCTTTCTATCTCATAAACTCTCTGACCTTCTAGACTTCAATCTATCTCTCGTGTTTTATCAATTATCTACTTGCTTGCTGCATTTTTAATTGCATACAAAATCTTCAACTATATAAGACAAGAAGCTACGGGCAAAACAAATAGAAACATACCTCCCATGCGGGCCATAAATTCCGTCCTACCAAAATGCATTACTCACCTTTCAAATATTGAGATGAAGAAGCCAGGATCTCCAAGTATATCACTTAACGAGCCTAACCCATGAATTAAGGTAGCGAGGGAAAATGCCTAGGTCCATGTGTATACAAGCTGGTAGAAGATGCCAATGATATACAAAAGCTGAGAAGTAGGATTGACCTCCAAATAGTCAAGATGCTCAATTGTCCATCCTCTAAAGTTAGTATAAATTATTAAATAGGACAGTACTGGAAATCAAGTTGGAAAGGGTACTAAATGTTATCAAATGCGTATACGAACTCGATGCAGTCGAGGCTTTGATGCAAAATGTGGCTCGTTGAGGTCCCGAGGCAGGCGTATCAAATGCAATGCAGTCAATAAATTTAAAAGGTGGAAAAATAATAAACTATAAGAATGCCTAGAAAAACAATGTGTTATTTACGTATTAGCAGAAATTTTAATTTAATAACTTTCTCTAATATATTAGCTGAGAGTCATCTAATAGCATGATAGTCTGATAAAGAGTAACAGAGTTTGTTGTCTTACAGGTAATACAAAGGGATTCCAAATATGCCTTAAAATCTCTTCTAATCTCTACTTTTGCTTGAGGGCACGCCCGCACATTCCAGGAAACTTTAGTAAGTAGTTATTATCAAAAAATGCCCTAGTCTCTCTTCTAATCTCATCCATTGATTAAGGGCATGCCCTCATAGTCCCAGCATTTCTGGCAAGCGTCGTTTTTGTTGGAAAATTCGCCCTTGTATATGTTTTCTCACATAGCATACAAAAAACACCAGTTCGATCCTTTGGGTTGTTGAGTCTCAAACGTTTCCAAGCCAGATCTCTGTTAGTTGATGATGAAGAAGACATTGTTCCCATAATAATAATAGGAAATAAAATGCACCAAAAATAATAATCCAAGGTTCGGATAACAAACTCCAAATTGAAAAAAGTTCAATTTCTAGGATTTAATCTCTAGGGCCTTGAATGCTTCAAATACTTGTTTGAATCTTAACTATAAAATCTCTAAAATCAAGCTCAAAACAATATTTTTCATAAATTCAAGAACAAACCCCAACTTTTTTCAAATATTCTGGAAGCAAAAAAAATTTGTAGGTATGGTTCCCTTCTTTTCTTTTTGTTTTTTTTTTTGTTGTTGGGGGGATGGGAGTTGAGGATTTACCATTTTAACCCTGCTCGTGCACTAAATTTTTGCCCATGAGCCGGGGCACATGTGGCCGCATCGCAAATTTCTGCATGCGGGTGGCGGTGATGCACATAAGGCCACATAACATGTTATGCACCCCATAAGGCCACATAACGTGTTATGCGGCCCCATAATGCATTATGCATCCGCATTTGACAACTATTGCACTATCAAATAAGACTTTGGCAACATAAAGAGCTGCCTGGTCGCCCTCAGATTACCATCATATAAATGCAGCATACACTTTATCCAAGTATGATCTGAACAGAGAATAATTGCAGTGAAAACAAGATTTTTCGTACTAAATATTCATCAATTCCAATAAATTACCCATAGAACCCTCCAGCCCAGAGGAACCATGCTGCCTCTCTTAGGGCTATAAATGAAGTAAAACTCAAAATTTCCAATACAAAATGCACAGTGAATCAAGTAGTTTCATTTTTTTCAGATAACAAGGTCACAGGAAATGATGCTCTCTTCACATGTCTAGTAAAAGATGTATGAGATAGCATTAACTTAAGGGCATGATTAATGTGCGACAAATCGAGATTGTTTATTTGGAGAACCTTCTAATATTTCTTGCTTTACTTGTATCAAGAAATCTATATGATCCTAAATTATATCAGCACCAATTTCATACCTATACTCCTAGATAATATGTTGTTGTAAGTAAATTCCCAGACAAGATAAGCCACCCACAGCCATAAAGAATTCTTTCAAGTAATAGAAGAGGCAAAGGAGGGCCCAATACACGTGAGAATATTAAAAGTAATAATCTATCTCTACATAAACCCTAATCTGATAGGACAGATACACCATATAGCTTGTGGGAGAAGCAGAAATGAAAGCTCGGATCTTCAAGTCCATTTTCAAGTAATCAAGAAACATTAACATAAAATAGTGTTAACTCTAAAACCCCAAGATCCCAATTAAAATACAAAAACCCTGTAACCATTTTAAAAAACAGAGTGTCAAGACCATCAAAAGACACTTGTAAATCGTACTTACCTTACAATTTTCTCTGGTCCCATAAGTCAATTGTTTTGGTTCTCCAAATGACAAATTCAAGACATAGATTTCACTCTCTCTAACATAGGCAAGCATACTTCCATCTAAAGAAAGCTGAGGATCGATAATCGGTGATGAAGATGTACTGGGCAGCTTAAGCTTTGGACTAGAACTAGTAACATCTTGGAAATAGACCTGTCAAACCATAAAGGAATGCATTACTCATAGATGACATGATAAAGGAGAAAAAGAAATATTAGTTCTATTATTCTGCCTCACATGTCAGATAATATCCTTGCTTCCAACCATAAACATTTTGAGTAAGATTAAGGTTTTGATTACAAATATGCTAATAAAAATGCAGAAATGCTTTTGTATAACAGTAATCAGTTTCTGATTCCTATGAAAAATCAGAGATGTTTTTTTTTTTTCTTTTTTGGCTTTTTCTCCAATAAGGCAGGGCATAGCTTTACAAACTAGATCGAAGTGAGCTTTGGAATTCCATAATCATATTATTAGAGGCTCCATATTTCCAAAGATTCATACTATAGGGGGAGATTACAGAACTCAAAGGCCCCATTTCAATAGTATCATACAAAGGCAATAAGCTAAAGAAGACGAATGATGAAAACAAATAATTTAAAAAAAAGGAAAGAAAATGTTGATACTTGATACCACTCAGTTTTATACTTCAAAACAAGGTTCAATCAGTCATGCAAATATAAGAACTTAAAAAACATCAGCACTTATACCAACATACTACATGCAACAAATTCAGAAGGAAATAAATGGGCAATCAAAATAAAAAATGGACGAATGAATAAATGAAAAGGAGAAAATTCAAAGAACATGATATAATGAAGTCACTAACCCACATTTGAATCAATGATTTTCCCCATGAACTCAAGAGGTGCTGCTCTCAAAAAGACCCATCCTCATTCCAACAATGAATATCTATACACAAATATCCCAATAAAAAGAGAATTGCACAAAATTCAAATGATGACCAATGATTTTTCTTTAGTTTCTCTCCCTTGTTTGTTCAATAGTCAGTTGCTACTCTTTATATGCAAAATGTAATAAATATTAAAAATTCTCAATAGAGCACAAACCAATTAAAGTTTATGAGATTAAGAAAACAAACCCCATCAGGCAGAGGGACCATGATTGCAGGCTTCGAGCAAGACTTTGTCCACTCATATCGAGTAACACCCAGCCCTCTCTCTCTAAGCCTCTCTCTCCTCAATTTCTCATCTGATGAAAGATTGCTCTCACCAAGCCCACCGCCAGGAGGGTTGAATATAAGATTGTCTTGACAAGTTGAAGGATCAAATGCGAAAACTTTCCTATTAAGAGTATTATCAGGACTGAACAAATAAGAGATAAATCGATCATCAGGACTAAAAGAGATAGAAGTCGGAGCTTCATAGCCTGGCAACGGGTATTGAACAATCTCTTCTACAGGGAACAAGAAACACTCCTCTGTGCTCTGGTTTGACGGGCTATCAGTTAAAGGCATCTTTAGTAACAAAGGTATATCAAACTTTGGCTTCTTATTTGAAACGGAATGCATTACCGAATAATTTTCATATATGTTTGGTAAGATAAAGAGATGGGAGGTTCAGTTTTGAATGGAACCCATGAATGCAAATGCCACTTGCTGTAGAAACTGATCTTGTTCAATCCACTGGTCCATTGATTTCATATCTGCAAAAATGTGTTGATTAAATTAAAAATTAAAGAATTAAGCCGACATTCTTAGCCCAATTAAAGAGCAATCAAAACATATGAACACAGGGCTCCAAGATTAAACCATTTCTGGTGAAATTTGTCATTCAAACGATTGTAAAGGAGGAACTAAAATAACAAAACAATATTAGAAGACATAGCAGCACTGGTCCATAGACTGATCATTGACTGAGACCAACATTCAGTTCTGGAGAATCATTTCTATTTAACTCATAACTGCGTGTCCATTTCCATTTTCAGAATTTTACATTCAATCAATCAATTTACAGATACCTCCGTGCAGAAAACAAGAAACGAACACAAATCAAAGACTTGAAACACGCGAAAGAAACACAACCGATTACCATAAAAAACAGAAAATTAACCCAATTTAAGCATTTTAAACACAAGGGAGAAACACAGAGTTTCCCATTTACCATAAAAATTTTCAAGATTCTATTGAAGACTTAAATATCACCACAATTCCATCACGAAAACAGGCAAAACAAGAAAGAAATCGAAGAAAAAGAGAAGAAAATATCAAAATTCAAAAGTATGAAAAAAAAATTCTACCCACTAAAAACTGCGTCTCGGAAGTAAGAACCACCATTAGCTACACCGCAAGTCAATAGAGTTTTACAACGACTGCACAATTTTGCCATTTTCAGTAAGATCGAAAACACGCCCCCCTATGACAACCTGGAAATTTTTCCCATTTTTGAATAAAATTCGTGGCACTGATTTGGAGCTGGTGTTAAGTATAGATCGATAAATACAAAAGGGTGCGGTTTGTATAGAGCCTAGGCTCTAACAATCAAATTAAAGCCTACCTTCAAATAGTTTTAATATTGAAAATCTTTGTGATAGCTTTAAAATATATTTGTATATTTATTTATAAAGTTTAAAATTTAAAAAATAATGTAGATTGACATATCTATGAGAACTTGAAAATCTTAAAAATTGACCGTCCAAAAATGTGTTATAAAATACATTATTTTCAAAACTTCAAATCTATTTTTTTCTCATGTCCATGCATCTTGATGTCGAGATGGTCGATTTGAAGATATTTGGACATCAAAACAACCTCTTTTAGTGAAATTTTTGGGATAAGCTCAAATTTGATTGTTTAGAGGCTCGGCTCTATATAAACTTTTCCAATACAAAATGCTAAAACTACAAATAATGAAGTCTTAATAGGGGTTTAGTTATTAATTTAATACTTAAAAATGGGTTACTTTGCCTTAAACCGAATGATTTATGAATATAAGTTTTAAATGTTTGACGGACGACTAGCGCCTAGACCTAGGCGGTCCGGAAGGCTTGGGCACATCACCTGCCGTCTAGGGGGCAATCTAGGCAGTCAATCCCTAGGTGCCCGCCGTCCAGGGCCTGTACCCGCTCACTGACAGAAAAACCATTCGGCGAGAGTATTTTTCGTTTTTTTGTTTTTAAGGGGCAAAATTTAGGATGGTAGGTTCATTTGAAACCGAAAACTTGTTGGAGCCAAATTTAGAGAAAAAAAGCACCCAAAAAACTACATTGTAGTGAATTTTTAAGGATCAAAGGGTTACTCAAAGTTACTCAAACTATATTGTTTTCTTCCTCATGGTGGTGTACTGTAGTACTTGTGTGATACGATTTGATAATTTGGTTGGTTGGAAAATTTTAAGTTTTAATTGGATATAGAGTATGAACCGACTTATGGATTATAGTTATACTTATGGAGTGTGTGCTAAATGCTAAATAATATGTAGTATAATTTGAATTGCGTATTGCGATACATATAACTAATACTGACATAACTGTAGAATGCCAGAATCCTTATTTGGATTCAACTGAGCCGCCCAGGTTCTGGGCGCCCGCTGAGCTGGGCAGCCTAGGGCCTAGGACCCACCTAGCACTTTTTGAAACTATGGCCGCATTTAATGTTCTAAGAAGATCAAAACACATCTTAAATATGAATTTGGGATCTAAAATATCATGTAGTGATAATCTAGTCCATAATTTTGAAGAGGAAATAGTTTATATAAGGTTGCAACTGAAGTAAAGTGCACCTCAAAAATCTTGTACGATGAGGGAGTGTAACGATGTTAGAGAACCTCCAATTGATCATCTCGACCTCGAGATGTATAGCTATGGAAGAAAAACAAGAAGTTCAAGTTACAATAATTGTGTATATTGTAAGACCTGTTAGTATTATGATTTTCAAATATAGATCTATTTGATATGGTATCATTTTTTATACTTTAAATTCCATAAGTAGGTATTATGAAAATAGATTTTCAAGCCACCATAAGTTTTCTGCCACGCGAACGACATCTCCAAGCAAATTTTAAAATATGGAACTTAAACTTTAAATATAGATTGTTCTAAATGAAATAAAAAAATATATGAAAGGTCAAACAATGATTAAAAAAAAAAGTTTTAAAACATCAATCTAAGATTTCAAATTTATTTCCATTTTTTGAGATTTGTAATTGTTGAGGTTGAGATAATCAACTAGCTAAATTCCGAGCCAAAATCCATTATATAGGAAGAAGACTACACTTGGATGATGTGTGTGAGCTGATGAACACAACCCCATCATTTTGAAATTTGATATTTATATTTGTTAAAAATTGTTATGTTTGGATCTCTTTTTGGTAAACACTTAAAAATAGGTGAGGCTATTTATCCCCCCCCCCCCCCAAAAAAAAAAGAGACAAGTCTGGATGTCCAGGGTATATCCATTATGATGACAATTGAAATTAATGGGTGAAACTCAAGTAGGATATAAGAGGGGATTGTCTGTAAAAATAGACCATCTTTCCCTTATCTTTTGTATATGAAGGTCACAATCATTTTTTTGTAAAAGTGTCATTGAATAGAGACAAAGTTAAAAAAAAAAAAACTTTTCTCAATACGTACCACAAAGCCAACCAATTTGACATTTAATGAGTGGCGACCTCTATGTACAATCATATATAACAGAGGGGAAGGAAGGATAAAGAAAATAAGAAGGAGAAAAACCCTTGAAAGGAGAGAAGATAATTAAAAAGATTTAGAGAATAAAGGGGATGGGTTAAAAGAAGAACCGCCTAAAAGATGGACCACAAATAACATGGACTTCAAAGTTCAAACAAGACAATAAAGTTGTTTAGAGAAAGACTCGGGAGTCATATTTTGTAATATTATTCCTGTATTCTTCCCTTCAATTGATGAAACTACTTTATATCACTATTATTTTTTCCCTTGAAAGACTTGGCCAATGCGACTCTGGACATTTAAGTATGATTATATGAGAATACTTTATTCAAAATACTGATAAAGCGGCGGACTACATACCAAAATAGAGAATATTTGACATAAAAAGTTAAAAGAGAAAAGCACAAGTCATAAAAGAAGTAATTATTTATTAGTTCAAAGTTCAACACAACGAGAAAATCCAAAGTTACAAGGGACAAAGAATCAGCATAGCCCATTTAAGTAGACGGCCCCTAACATCTGGACTAATGAACATCAAACTTGTCATACTAAAATAAAGGCCATGTATTAAAGGAAAAGATCTTACTATAGAAGTTAGATCCAACTCAAAAACCCACCAAGATAGATTGTTTTGACACAGTAAATCCCTGATCATCTTGATCTCAAAATACATATATATAAAAAGTGAAAAGAATGATTTCAAGTATTCATAATGCGACATCTTATAATGTATTATCTAGACCGTCTGTTTTAAGTTTCTCAAGTATTTGTAGATCTACTTGATCTCCAATATTTTTAGAACTTTAAACTTCACGATTATGGGCAAAAATATTTTTTTGACCATCTTAAAGATTTTTCACCGCCAAAATACGTCTTTTAGCATAATTTAGATGTGCACTTACTTGGATTGTTTAAGGTCGACAACTTTATACAATTCACACCATTTTGTAAAGGACACAGTTCTTATGAGTCCATGTCGAAATGAGTCACCTCTTTAAAATCTAATTTTGAGATGGATTTTTCGACTTAGTTTTTAAAGACATGTAATCTCTAACATGGAGATCATGAATATGAATAAATAAATAATATAATAATTCAATTAAGAAAACATTTGATCCGTTAGTTTCAATAACTAACATGAAAATCATGAATATAAATAAATAAATAAATTTTAAAAATGAAAAATATTAATTTGATTAAAAAGACATTTGGACCATTAATTTCAATTGTTTTTAGATGGATCACCTATTTGCATCTATTTTTAAGATGGATGCTGTTTATCTTGGGTTTGCATATTGTAGAAATGCAGTGTAGCCGGCATGAAACAATTTTCAACTTTGGCATAAATCAGTCATTTTGAAAAATTGAATGGGCATCCAGGTAAAAAAAAAAACGAAAATCTCACAATTAAATAAACCAATTTATAAACTCTTCTCGACCTCGTTTTTATGAATAAATCTATAACGTTTTTTTATCAAAAAGGCAAAAACAGAAAACAAAATGTACCAATTGCCCATTTTATCCCCAACACGACGAAATATAGGAAACAGCAGGTAAATTTCGCCGAAATTTTGGAAAAGTTCGTCAAGTCGACATCCACGATGCGGTAAAATTTCGCCTTCGAGGATGTGACCTTTTTAAGGCCCGAACAAGGGAAGGTTTTGTGTAAATCGGACCGCCACGTGTCCTTTTCAAAATGTTTGAAAAGCTTTTTAAAAAGTTATGACCCGTTACGAACTTAGAGGGGAGAGGGGATGCGATAAAGGGTTCAGATTCTTCCACGACATCACATGCTTTCTCCACCAAGATCAGATGAAAAAAAGAAAACAAAAAAGAGATGGAAAGGTTGCTTTACATGGATGTAAAAGGGCCTCCTAAAATTAGGATTTTGACTTTACCACAAAAGAATGAAATAGTGCTCTGCCCGAGTATCTTGTACACTTACTCCTTTAGGAGGCTTTGGAGCGTAATCATTGATGACGGATTGCAGCCACTTCAAAAAGCAGACTACGCGGTTTGGTAGGAATTAAAATTAGTAATGGGAGGCACAAGGCATAATTCCATTGCGTTGGAAATAAAGAGATTGAGGGGGACCACTTCCCAATGCAAGATTACTTAAACAAGACGGCATTCGTGGTTTATAAAAGGTTTCAACCTTAAACGATCCAATTAATATGCACTTACAAATTTTATCATGTTATCCAATTTTGGTGAATTTTTTTTTTTAAAATTATTTGAAAATTTATTTTAATATCTAATTAAAAAATTTTAAATGTAAAAAATGGTTAAAATCAAGTAGATCTATAAACATATTAAAATCTTAAAAATTGACGGTCTAAGTAATGTATTACAAGGTGCATTATTTTCAAGACTCAAAAAACTTTTTTTTCATATTCATACATGTCAATGTCGAGATGAGTTTTTCAACATTAAAATAATTTTTTCGATAAATTTTTTAAATGCATCTATAATTCTACATTTTAAAGTTATAACCTTATATAAATTTTTCTTTTTTTTATTTATATACATAAATCTAGTGAATAAGTTTTAATATTATAATTGCTTGAGAGAGAGACATTAAACATTTTATAGTGCAAAAGTGTGGAGAGAGAGAGTAAACATTTGAGCCGGGTAAGAGTATCGCATCACTCCCCTAGGAGCATCCTCACTCACATCTCTGCCGGGCAAGGATAAGTTTGGAAGTGCGGTAGGTTAATTTCCTCATCGTCAGGTCGGGAGGCGGTTAGGCGGCAGAACTGACTCAATGGTGGCACTAGGCTGAGACCGCTCGGAGTCAACAAAGTGTTTCCAATTGTGTTCATGGGCATGAAGAATCCC